CATGGGTACTTTGAATTCCATGCATGTCATGTTGTGTTGGTGTGTAATCCCCAAACTGAACATTCGTTAAAGGAAACGCCATTCACAGTCTGTGCACCATCAAAACATCACAATATTTAAAAGGATCAAAATTATTACAAAATGTATCGGGTGTCACATAATTATCCCCGCCGCGCGTTTACGCCAAGCGGGGGACATAGTATTAGTACCGTCCGTACGTCTGTCCGTACGTATGTACGAATTGAAATATCTTAAGAACCGTTCACTAGATTCTTTTCATAATGGGTGCCTAGGTTCATCACAGTATAAGAAAGGTCCACGTCAGGTTTGGTGACCTTGACCTTAATTTCAAGGTCACAAGGAGACTTTAACGTTTTACCTGCATGTTAAGCTATCTCAAGAACTGTTCTCTGGATTTTTTTCATATTCAATACAAAGCTTTATCTAGGGAAGGCGCATGGCCCAGTCGATTTTGGTGACCTTCCCTTAATTTTCAAGGTCACAGAGACACTTTGAAGATTTGAGCATGTTAACCTGAATTGTCAGCAAGATATTTCAAAAACAGTTCACTGGATCTTCTTCAAAGACTTTCAAGACTTCCCTCAAATGTTTTTCAAAAAGCAATTTCTTTAGTACTATTTTTGCATATTTCATACACTATGACAATTATGTCAAAGTCAGTCTTTAAAATATGTGTGTTTGAACACCTAAAGAGCAAGACATCAAGAGAGGTTGACTGGTCATGTTTTTGTTGACATTTAACTTAAACTTTCATTACTTCATAAGTTTGACTTGATAATTTGCAGCGGGGATTATGTCACCTTAGTGACAATGCTTGTTAATTTCCATGTGTATATATCGGCCCAGTTCCTGATCCCACAAGTCCTAGCTAAGATCGGGAATCATCAGATGACACTGTATCTATAGCTGAAGCATGGCTGACATGCTCATGGTTTCCAGATCTCCCTTCTGGTGATCAACCATTATGCCTGCTTCTTTGACCTATGTTTCTCTGACAACAAAAGTATGACAGATTCCATTGCAACTTACTTGTATGGAAACTGTTGAGCAACACCTAGCGTCAGCGGGATTTTCACAATTAGTTTCCTCAGCTGTTACTCTATCAGAGCTTCAACATCTGCTTGATATGACTTGAAGTGGAACCCGAGTCCAGCAGTGGAGAGTCATACCTGGAACAGCCAGTGTCTCTACAGAAGTGGCCATTGTTGCAGACTTTGTGCTATATCTTGTTCCTGATATTTCTTGGCTTTGTTATCTGTCGATCGTGAAGGCTCAGGATTTCAGAAATACATTCCTTGGTACTCTCAGTCCTATTATTTAAACGTCGATCTGGAGTGGCAGGTTGAGCACAGACAGCGACCTGGATTAACTCATTAAGCCTGAGAGCCACCTCACCACTCAATACCTGGAACCCCTCGCTGATTGCCCACTCGCTGTGCCGAGACTAATTAGTGCTTATCACACCTGATTTCCCTGGCAGGTTTTGGGGATGACAGGAAACTGTCTAGTCGTACACACAAGTCCTGATTGTTTAATTGTGTCGTAAAGATACATGTTGAAAGAAAGCAGGTGTGAATACATATCGTGTATTGCACTGTTTTATGTAATTGTATTGCAAGTTTCTCTTGTAGACCTTTGGCGGCTTGTACATTTACATTTTATTACAATATGCATGTATTCTTTGTATGTAAGAGATGAGACACACATAAACAATTTCTCTCTCATATCATTGTGTGAGGTTTAATTTGACAAAACATCTATGACAATGACATACTGTAGAAAGGATTTACTTTCATACTTTATAATCTTCGACGAAAATAGCGTTTTTGCCAAGTGCATACGAATTATTTTAATGAAAGTACTATTACGCTAGTCTCTGACTAACATAAAGCACATTCATAGCTTGGCACTTTGTTCCATCTAGATTTAATGCAGAAAACATACATGACCATACAAACATACATATAAAAGAATGTATACTACATATTCCTTGCATAGACATAAAAAACAAAGAGTCACGTGATAGGGCGTCATTAAAGTTATCGTATATAATGTTCGGTATCTCAACTGTTCAATATAGTGGCTGGTCATATGTTATCTGTGACCAATCGTATCATGAGATACCTGTCACAGAGGAAAGGACAGGTGATGGGGCGTGGGCGAAATTTCTGAAGAGCACATTTGGTCACTCAACAGCTTGAATAGAGATTGATTATTGGCTATATCGATGACCAGTCAATATGCTGGGTTTCGGCTTTATCGACTATCATGTAACAGTTTGTGTCTTGTAAACACACACTGGTAACGGTGTTTGAAATATACAAATAAGACAAATAGGAGTAGATAGACACTTTGGCTAGTTTATTTGTCCTCATGTTAGTGTTTTTCGATAAGTAAAACAAGGCGCATGAAATCCAACAATTGAGTAGAGATAGTATATATTTTCATATACATTTTACACACACAACTAGTACATAAAACATAATGTTTTGCTGTACATGTAAATACATGTATAATGTTCACCTTGATATGAATGAATATCCAAACTAAAGTACACGTATTACAGAATTCATGAAATGACACTATACTGAATTATTATAGTGTATAAACTTGCAGTTGACCTCCCCCTCCCCCCCCAATATTTATGAAGGTGGGGGTGCCTATATTTATACTAAATACAAACGAGGTTCATAAGTTTACAGATGCACATGCATGCATAAACATTACAGAGACGGGCGTGACTCCATAAAGCAAGTTGTCCAATGTTATATGTTAAGCCCATTTCTGGTGTCCCCCGCCGTGATATTGCTGAAATATTGCTAAAAGCGGCGTAAAACTAAACTCAGTCAGTCAGTCAGTCCAATGTTATAACAGCTCATCTGTTTATTTTACACTTGTCACGGGACAAACCTTTCAACAAGGACGTAACTACATATGCATTCTACCAGAGGCTGTTATTTGAAGGTCGAAAGAAGTGTTCAATTATCTCATTACTGTAATCTGATTGAATGATTATACGCATGTGTATTGATACCGTAACTGATATACTATCCGTCTTTTATTGATGATTGATCTATAGAGACTGAGTTCATTGATACACGTGATAATTACACCCGGACCAGATAACTACAGAGATCTCATACAAATGTTTTACACAATGCTCATGTAAATAGCATAGAAAACTGACAATTCAAATCAACATGAAACTTTCAACACGTTGAACAAAAATGCTTGAAATACCTTTGTTTGGTTTACATGTAATAACTTATGATATTACTCTGTCTGTGTGTGAGAATTTTTTCAATTACCAACTTACTGTGTTTTGTCACAAATGTAGTAAAAGATTTCATTGTTGTAATAACACTGACATGTATATATATTCGATTCAAAGGCGTGACTTATCACTTCATTTTTCGATTAGGTAACATTAACAACTTTAGATTATGGAAAATAACTAGTTACAATTCAGTAAGCTTCGAGTTAGTAAGTTAAATTATGTCTAATCTTTTCGTGCTTAGATGTGTAATTATATGTGTTTATGCATAATGTTTCATTATATGAAACATGACAACGTAATAATACCTAAAAAGTAAATTCAAACTATTCTATTGTGTTTGAATTCTTTGTATGTCCTTGAAATTTCGTATATTGTTTCCTATTTATTAGGAAGTTGAAGAAACTATAATCTTCAGTGACCTCTAAACCATTACATCTAATTCAATCAATGTGCATACAAAGTATTTTAGTATCCATTCCCAATGAAGAGTACCAGCCACTTACCTCTGTAAAACCATCATAATCCCCTTTTGTCACCGACATGTGTTCATTAGCAAAACGCTGTACAAGCCTATGATAATGATTAGCAAGTGCTATGAAAACACTTTAAATACTTCTTCTGATTGACACTAAAGGTAGCATCTCTCGTAAGAAAAGCTAATATTTGCTCAGTAGTACTAACTTGGTTGAAATAATAGGTACAGTGCTATTTTTTAATAAGTAAGACACACATGTGCGTCTCTCGCTAAATAAGAGGTGCTTTCTGTTCACGGATATATGTGGCTCTCGCTGTGAGAAACTGCCAATTACCTGCCCCATAAACACGTCACTCTGTGAGGAGCTGACTAATTTGCCCCATATATGGGTCTCTCGGCCTTAATGAGTTAAGAAAAATATAAAGCTGACTTGTACTTTGATAGAAGATCATCCACCTACTTATCGATCTTATGTTCACATGAAATAAGAGCCATTGCTGTGTACTTAGGATCATGGAAGATCATCTCACTAGAACAGATTATGTCTGCTTGACAGTGGGCGTCTTTGACACTTTGTGTTGTTTTGAGGGAAGTCACCCAGTACCTTCGGGGACCTGATGGCCTAGGATCTGTGGTTGTGGTCCAGTCTATCCTTGCTGCCTAGCTAGCCTCTCTCTGGATGGGAAAGGGGTAGTAGAGCAGGTTACAAGTAATAGATAAATCTGGTTAAGGTAGCAAAGAGCCTATCACTTCCCAAATACAGAGGCAAAAAAGTTGATCACAGGTTGACCATCAACTGTATTCATGGTCTCTCACTGTACACTGGTCACTGAATAAACCTATGACACAAACGTAATCTGATGACTTCTCTTCTTCTTAGCTTCTATGCTAGGGGGTTATTCATGATGTTTCTGCAAGTTTTAATAAAATAGTAAAACTGAAAATAGAAATATGATGCTTTTAAAGCATAGGAGTAGCATAGTAAATGTGTATCATTGTATCATGTACTGATGAAGAAACAATGCTGCTAATTGAGATTTTCAGTGTCCTTCTTTGTTCAGACAGGAATGCTGTTGGCTAATGTCCTGTTTGTTCGGAGGGAGATGCTGTTGGCTAATGTCCTTGTTTGTTCAGACAGGGATGCTGTTGGCGTTATGACCTTATTTGTTCGGACAGGGATAGTGTTGTCTAATGTCCTTGTTTCCTGAATGTGCTATGTTTCTGCAGACAGGTGTGCAGAAGGTGGAGCTGCAGAAGCCGGCAACTGGTGGTCTGGGGTTCAGTCTAGTGACTGCACAGAAGAACCAGGAGATGTGTGTGTTTGTCAGGACCATCTCGGATGGGGGTGCAGCAGCAACAGATGGCAGGCTGCAAGTGGGAGACCGGCTGCTGCAGGTAGACAAACTTACCTTACTATAGGTCCCTCCATTAAGTATGATGCAAACTTATATAGTTCTAATGAATACATCCCTCAAACACTTGACTGCTTTTCTACTGAAATGTGTTACTGAATCCACAAGCTGTAATAAGATTTGTGTCCAGGATTTGTATTGTCCTTGCTTTAAGTGGTCCTCCAAGTGCTATGCCCAGGAGTTACATCTCACATTGAATGCATGGGAAAAGCATGGGATACAGTGGCAGCCTACCAGCTTGGGTGATCTCATTTTCAGGACTTCGTTGATCTCAAAAGAGAACTTAAGGACCTGCATACATTCTCATGTGCAACATTACTGCCAGACCGATTCCAGGAAGATATCCAGAGACTACGCATATCATTGAAATGGGACTTTATCAGTTGTTTTTTTTTTCAGGCTTATGACATAATGAGAGAGAGAGAGAGTCATTTATACACAATGTTATTACAAGCATGGTTGCTGAAGACCAATTCTAACCCTGGTCCTCATGGGTGCTGAAGACCTATTCTAACCCTGGTCCTCATGGGTTGCTGAAGGCCAATTCTAACCCTGGTCTTCATGGATGCTGAAGGCCTACTCTAACCCTGGTCTTCATGGGTTGCTGAAGGCCTATTCTAACCCTGGTCTTCATGGGTCGCTGAAGGCCTACTTTAACCCTGGTCTTCATGGGTCGCTGAAGGCCTACTCTAACCCTGGTCTTCATGGGTGCTGAAGGCCTACTCTAACCCTGGTCTTCATGGGTTGCTGAAGGCCTACTACTCTAACCCTAACCCTGGTCTTCATGGGTTGCTGAAGGCCTACTCTAACCCTGGTTGCTGAAGGCCTACTCTAACCCTGGTCTTCATGGGTTGCTGAAGGCCTACTCTAACCCTGGTCTTCATGGGTGCTGAAGGCCTACTCTAACCCTGGTCTTCATGGGTTGCTGAAGACCTATTCTAACCCTGGTCTTCATGGGTTGCTGAAGACCTATTCTAACCCTGGTCTTCATGGGTTGCTGAAGACCTATTCTAACCCTGGTCTTCATGGGTTGCTGAAGACCTATTCTAACCCTGGTCTTCATGGGTTGCTGAAGACCTATTCTAACCCTGGTCTTCATGGGTTGCTGAAGGCCTACTCTAACCCTGGTCTTCATGGGTTGCTGAAGGCCTACTCTAACCCTGGTCTTCATGGGTTGCTGAAGGCCTACTCTAACCCTGGTCTTCATGGGTTGCTGAAGGCCTACTCTAACCCTGGTCTTCATGGGTTGCTGAAGGCCTACTCTAACCCTGGTCTTCATGGGTGCTGAAGGCCTACTCTAACCCAGGTCTTCATGGGTGCTGAAGGCCTACTCTAACCCTGGTCTTCATGGGTTGCTGAAGGCCTACTCTAACCCTGGTCTTCATGGGTCTTGCTGTGCTGAAGGCCTACTCTAACCCTGGTCTTCATGGGTGCTGAAGGCCTACTCTTACCCTGGTCTTCATCGGTTGCTGAAGACCTATCCTAACCCTGGTCTTAATGGGTGCTGAAAGCCTACTCTAACCCTGGTCTTCATGGGTGCTGAAGGCTTATTCTAACCCTGGTCTTCATGGGTTGCTGAAGGCCTACTCTAACCCTGGTCTTCATGGGTTGCTGAAGACCTATTCTAACCCTGGTCTTCATGGGTTGCTGAAGGCCTATTCTAACCCTGGTCTTCATGGGTTGCTGAAGGCCTACTCTAACCCTGGTCTTCATGGGTTGCTGAAGGCCTACTCTAACCCTGGTCTTCATGGGTTGCTGAAGGCCTACTCTAACCCTGGTCTTCATGGGTGCTGAAGGCCTATTCTAACCCTGGTCTTCATGGGTTGCTGAAGACCTATTCTAACCCTGGTCTTCATGGGTTGCTGAAGACCTATTCTAACCCTGGTCTTCATGGGTTGCTGAAGGCCTACTCTAACCCTGGTCTTCATGGGTTGCTGAAGGCCTATTCTAACCCTGGTCTTCATGGGTTGCTGAAGGCCTACTCTAACCCTGGTCTTCATGGGTTGCTGAAGGCCTATTCTAACCCTGGTCTTCATGGGTTGCTGAAGGCCTACTCTAACCCTGGTCTTCATGGGTTGCTGAAGGCCTACTCTAACCCTGGTCTTCATGGGTTGCTGAAGGCCTATTCTAACCCTGGTCTTCATGGGTTGCTGAAGGCCTATTCTAACCCTGGTCTTCATGGGTGCTGAAGGCCTACTCTAACCCTGGTCTTCATGGGTTGCTGAAGGCCTACTCTAACCCTGGTCTTCATGGGTTGCTGAAGGCCTACTCTGCTGAAGGTCTTCTGGGTTGCTGAAGGCCTGCTCTTAACCCTGGTCTTCATGGGTTGCTGAAGGCCTATTCTAACCCTGGTCTTCATGGGTTGCTGAAGACCTATCTCTAACCCTGGTCTTCATGGGTGCTGAAGGCCTACTCTAACCCTGGTCTTCATGGGTTGCTGAAGGCCTACTCTAACCCTGGTCTTCATGGGTTGCTGAAGGCCTACTCTAACCCTGGTCTTCATGGGTTGCTGAAGGCCTACTCTAACCCTGGTCTTCATGGGTGCTGAAGACCTATTCTAACCCTGGTCTTCATGGGTTGCTGAAGGCCTATTCTAACCCTGGTCTTCATGGGTTGCTGAAGGCCTACTCTAACCCTGGTCTTCATGGGTTGCTGAAGGCCTACTCTAACCCTGGTCTTCATGGGTTGCTGAAGGCCTACTCTAACCCTGGTCTTCATGGGGTGCTGAAGGCCTACTCTTCTAACCCTGGTCTTCATGGGTTGCTGAAGACCTATTCTAACCCTGGTCTTCATGGGTTGCTGAAGGCCTATTCTAACCCTGGTCTTCATGGGTTGCTGAAGGCCTATTCTAACCCTGGTCTTCATGGGTTGCTGAAGACCTATTCTAACCCTGGTCTTCATGGGTGCTGAAGACCTATTCTAACCCTGGTCTTCATGGGTTGCTGAAGGCCTATTCTAACCCTGGTCTTCATGGGTTGCTGAAGGCCTATTCTAACCCTGGTCTTCATGGGTTGCTGAAGACCTATTCTAACCCTGGTCTTCATGGGTTGCTGAAGACCTATTCTAACCCTGGTCTTCATGGGTGCTGAAGGCCTATTCTAACCCTGGTCTTCATGGGTTGCTGAAGGCCTACTCTAACCCTGGTCTTCATGGGTGCTGAAGACCTATTCTAACCCTGGTCCTCATGGGTGCTGAAGACCTATTCTAACCCTGGTCTTCATGGGTTGCTGAAGACCTATTCTAACCCTGGTCTTCATGGGTGCTGAAGGCCTACTCTAACCCTGGTCTTCATGGGTTGCTGAAGGCCTACTCTAACCCTGGTCTTCATGGGTTGCTGAAGGCCTATTCTAACCCTGGTCTTCATGGGTGCTGAAGGCCTACTCTAACCCTGGTCTTCATGGGTTGCTGAAGGCCTATTCTAACCCTGGTCTTCATCGGATGCTGAAGGCCTATTCTAACCCTGGTCTTCATGGGTTGCTGAAGGCCTACCCTAACCCTGGTCTTCATTGGTGCTGAAGGCCTACTCTAACCCTGGTCTTCATGGGTGCTGAAGACCTATTCTAACCCTGGTCTTCGTGGGTTGCTGAAGGCCTATTTTAACCCTGGTCTTCATGGGTTGCTGAAGACCTATTCTAACCCTGGTCTTCATGGGTGCCGAAGGCCTACTCTAACCCTGGTCTTCATGGGTTGCTGAAGGCCTATTCTAACCCTGGTCTTCATCGGTTGCTGAAGGCCAATTTTAACCCTGGTCTTCATGGGTGCTGAAGACTTATGCTAACCCTAGTCTTCATGGGTTGCTGAAGACCTATTCTAACCCTGGTCTTCATGGGTTGCTGAAGGCCTACTCTAACCCTGGTCTTCATGGGTTGCTGAAGACCTATTCTAACCCTGGTCTTCATGGGTTGCTGAAGGCCTACTCTAACCCTGGTCTTCATGGGTTGCTGAAGGCCTATTCTAACCCTGGTCTTCATGGGTTGCTGAAGGCCTACTCTAACCCTGGTCTTCATGGGTTGCTGAAGACCTATTCTAACCCTGGTCTTCATATAACCCTTTGCTGAAGGCCTACTCTAACCCTGGTCTTCATGGGTTGCTGAAGGCCTACTCTAACCCTGGTCTTCATGGGTTGCTGAAGGCCTATTCTAACCCTGGTCTTCATGGGTTGCTGAAGGCCTACTCTAACCCTGGTCTTCATGGGTTGCTGAAGGCCTACTCTAACCCTGGTCTTCATGGGTTGCTGAAGGCCTACTCTAACCCTGGTCTTCATGGGTTGCTGAAGGCCTACTCTAACCCTGGTCTTCATGGGTTGCTGAAGGCCTACTCTAACCCTGGTCTTCATGGGTTGCTGAAGGCCTATTCTAACCCTGGTCTTCATGGGTTGCTGAAGGCCTACTCTAACCCTGGTCTTCATGGGTTGCTGAAGGCCTACTCTAACCCTGGTCTTCATGGGTGCTGAAGGCCTACTCTAACCCTGGTCTTCATGGGTTGCTGAAGGCCTACTCTAACCCTGGTCTTCATGGGGTTGCTGAAGGCCTACTCTAACCCTGGTCTTCATGGGTGCTGAAGGCCTATTCTAACCCTGGTCTTCATGGGTTGCTGAAGGCCTACTCTAACCCTGGTCTTCATGGGTTGCTGAAGGCCTATTCTAACCCTGGTCTTCATGGGTGCTGAAGACCTATTCTAACCCTGGTCTTCATGGGTTGCTGAAGGCCTACTCTTCTAACCCTGGTCTTCATGGGTGCTGAAGGCCTACTCTAACCCTGGTCTTCATGGGTTGCTGAAGGCCTACTCTAACCCTGGTCTTCATGGGTTGCTGAAGGCCTACTCTAACCCTGGTCTTCATGGGTTGCTGAAGGCCTATTCTAACCCTGGTCTTCATGGGTTGCTGAAGGCCTATTCTAACCCTGGTCTTCATGGGTGCTGAAGGCCTATTCTAACCCTGGTCTTCATGGGTTGCTGAAGGCCTATTCTAACCCTGGTCTTCATGGGTTGCTGAAGACCTATTCTAACCCTGGTCTTCATGGGTTGCTGAAGGCCTATTCTAACCCTGGTCTTCATGGGTTGCTGAAGGCCTATTCTAACCCTGGTCTTCATGGGTGCTGAAGGCCTACTCTAACCCTGGTCTTCATGGGTTGCTGAAGGCCTATTCTAACCCTGGTCTTCATGGGTTGCTGAAGACCTATTCTAACCCTGGTCTTCATGGGTGCTGAAGACCTATTCTAACCCTGGTCTTCATGGGTTGCTGAAGGCCTATTCTAACCCTGGTCTTCATGGGTTGCTGAAGGCCTATTCTAACCCTGGTCTTCATGGGTTGCTGAAGGACCTATTCTAACCCTGGTCTTCATGGGTGCTGAAGACCTATTCTAACCCTGGTCTTCATGGGTTGCTGAAGACCTATTCTAACCCTGGTCTTCATGGGTTGCTGAAGGCCTACTCTAACCCTGGTCTTCATGGGTTGCTGAAGGCCTACTCTAACCCTGGTCTTCATGGGTTGCTGAAGGCCTATTCTAACCCTGGTCTTCATGGGTTGCTGAAGGCCTACTCTAACCCTGGTCTTCATGGGTTGCTGAAGACCTATTCTAACCCTGGTCTTCATGGGTTGCTGAAGGCCTATTCTAACCCTGGTCTTCATGGGTTGCTGAAGGCCTACTCTAACCCTGGTCTTCATGGGTTGCTGAAGGCCTACTCTAACCCTGGTCTTCATGGGTTGCTGAAGGCCTACTCTAACCCTGGTCTTCATGGGTTGCTGAAGGCCTATTCTAACCCTGGTCTTCATGGGTTGCTGAAGACCTATTCTAACCCTGGTCTTCATGGGTTGCTGAAGGCCTACTCTAACCCTGGTCTTCATGGGTTGCTGAAGGCCTATTCTAACCCCTGGTCTTCATGGGTTGCTGAAGGCCTATTTCTAACCCTGGTCTTCATGGGTGCTGAAGACCTATTCTAACCCTGGTCTTCATGGGTTGCTGAAGACCTATTCTAACCCTGGTCTTCATGGGTTGCTGAAGGCCTACTCTAACCCTGGTCTTCATGGGTTGCTGAAGACCTATTCTAACCCTGGTCTTCATGGGTTGCTGAAGACCTATTCTAACCCTGGTCTTCATGGGTTGCTGAAGGCCTACTCTAACCCTGGTCTTCATGGGTTGCTGAAGACCTATTCTAACCCTGGTCTTCATGGGTTGCTGAAGGCCTATTCTAACCCTGGTCTTCATGGGTTGCTGAAGACCTATTCTAACCCTGGTCTTCATGGGTTGCTGAAGGCCTATTCTAACCCTGGTCTTCATGGGTTGCTGAAGGCCTATTCTAACCCTGGTCTTCATGGGTTGCTGAAGGCCTATTCTAACCCTGGTCTTCATGGGTTGCTGAAGACCTATTCTGCTAACCCTGGTCTTCATGGGTTGCTGAAGACCTATTCTAACCCTGGTCTTCATGGGTTGCTGAAGGCCTACTCTAACCCTGGTCTTCATGGGTTGCTGAAGACCTATTCTAACCCTGGTCTTCATGGGTTGCTGAAGACCTATTCTAACCCTGGTCTTCATGGGTTGCTGAAGGCCTATTCTAACCCTGGTCTTCATGGGTTGCTGAAGGCCTACTCTAACCCTGGTCTTCATGGGTTGCTGAAGACCTACTCTAACCCTGGTCTTCATGGGTTGCTGAAGGCCTATTCTAACCCTGGTCTTCATGGGTTGCTGAAGGCCTATTCTAACCCTGGTCTTCATGGTTGCTGAAGACCTATTCTAACCCTGGTCTTCATGGGTTGCTGAAGACCCTATTCTAACCCTGGTCTTCATGGGTTGCTGAAGACCTATCTTACCTAACCCTGGTGCTCATGGGTTGCTGAAGACCTATTCTAACCCTGGTCTTCATGGGTTGCTGAAGACCTATTCTAACCCTGGTCTTCATGGGTTGCTGAAGACCTATTCTAACCCTGGTCTTCATGGGTTGCTGAAGACCTATTCTAACCCTGGTCTTCATGGGTTGCTGAAGACCTATTCTAACCCTGGTCTTCATGGGTTGCTGAAGACCTATTCTAACCCTGGTCTTCATGGGTGCTGAAGGCCTATTCTAACCCTGGTCTTCATGGGTTGCTGAAGGCCTACTCTCTGGTCTCCATGGGTTGCTGGTCTTAACCCTGGTCTTCATGGGTTGCTGAAGACCTATTCTAACCCTGGTCTTCATGGGTGCTGAAGACCTATTCTAACCCTGGTCTTCATGGGTGCTGAAGACCTATTCTAACCCTGGTCTTCATGGGTTGCTGAAGGCCTACTCTAACCCTGGTCTTCATGGGTTGCTGAAGGCCTACTCTAACCCTGGTCTTCATGGGTTGCTGAAGGCCTACTCTAACCCTGGTCTTCATGGGTTGCTGAAGGCCTACTCTAACCCCCTGCTGAAGGCCTTCTAATGGGTCATGGGTGCTGAAGACCTATTCTAACCCTGGTCTTCATGGGTGCTGAAGACCTATTCTAACCCTGGTCTTCATGGGTGCTGAAGACCTATTCTAACTCTGGTCTTCATGGGTGCTGAAGACCTATTCTAACTCTGGTCTTCATGGGTTGGTTCTAATGCCCTGAATGGTAGAGTATGGCTAAATATCAAGCCTCTTATATCCAGCCAAGGAGGCAACTCCATTTCATAATTGTGTGCACAGAATACATACCGTAAGTGACTTCATCTGTAGTACTGTTAGCCGGAAGTAGTATTATTATCCACCATTATAATACAGCAAGAAGCATTCTTAAATGTTGTCACAACATTAAGTGTTTTTTTATGGTTGCCTTCCTCACTTGGGGTTTACTGGGCCACCAAGCCTTGTGTAGGATTCACCAATCAAGTTTTACAGAGATGTATTCCTAAGAATCTGGAACATTATCGACAGTGATAATAATTCTTAGCATATTACCTGCCCACATATGTATCCCCCAGGAATCCCAGATTACCTTCCATAAGATACCCTAGAGAAACATGAGGTTTCCTGCGCTTCTGATACGGAGATAACTCCTGCAGATAGCACTTGGAAAACTATTTGTGAAAAGACAACACAAATCGTATTCAAGCTTGACTTGTAGTAAATGACTTGTGGCAATGAGGTGTTAGAGGAAGTATTCTAAGAATTATTTTCTTTGTTGGTAATGTTCAATACTATAGTGGGGCTGTGGGGTAGCCTAGTGGTTAAAGCGTTGACTCGTCACGCCAAAGACTCGGGTTCGAATCCCCACATGGGTAAAATGTGTGAGGCCCATTTCTGGTGTCCCCCGCAATGATGTTGCTGGAATATTGCTAAAAATCGGCGTAAAACCAAACTCAGTCAGTCAGTCAGTCAATACTATAGGTCTCTCCATTAAGGGTGGTGCAGGTAGGCCAACATACCACAATACTATAGGTCTCTCCATTAAGGGTGTTGCAGGTAGACAGACATACCACAATACTATAGGTCTCTCCATTAAGGGTGGTGCAGGTAGGCCAACATACCACAATACTATAGGTCTCTCCATTAAGGGTGGTGCAGGTAGACAAACATACCACAATACTATAGGTCTTTCCATTAAGGGTGGTGCAGCAAACATACCACAATACTATAGGTCTCTCCATTAAGGGTGGTGCAGCAAACATACCACAGAGATCACTTCATTCCTTTGTCACTGCAATCATCATGAGATAACCTGAAGCAGTTGTGTTTCACTTGGCCACCAAGGTGCCTGACAGTATTTTGTGTTCTGCTTGCAGGTGAATGGGGAATCCCTGGTTGGAATGAACCATGTCAAGGCTGTGAAGATTCTCAGAAAGGCAAAACCAGGGCCAGTTGAAGTTACAATATCTAGGTAGGTAGATGTTCCCCCATACTGAGTGTATCTATATTCCATGTTCTAAATGACTATCAAAGACTGTTGCCAAACCCACCTCTGTTTCTGTGGGGTGTTCCTCTTTTGCCAGTCGTTATTGTTATAGGATTAAAGTCACCAGACCATATTAATTAGCAAGACAATGGACAGTTAGGTTAGACCACGACGGCCCCATGTTTAACCGTTGAAATGCTGAGTTAAACCCCAGGGCGTGTAGTGCGTAGCACCGAGGGATTCAGCTCAGCATTTCAACGGGTAAACACAGGGTCCAAGTGGTCTAACATATTTAAATCATGACCAGCTTTGGATGGTCTTAACTTCTCTCATTATTCTGTAAATTCAAGTTAAAATAGCGATCTAAATTTTGTGCAAAGCGATGTTTTGCTTTAATGGTTGTGAATAGGCTTTCCCCATCAAAGCCACTGACGTCAGACGCTGGCTAGCATGTCTTGCACGACCAGCACATGCATTTCAATTTTTTCCCCATTTTCTTGCCTGTATTTTTATTTGGACTATCCCATTATAATCTGTAGGTAAGAGATAGTAACTAATCTGTTCACTGAACCGTATATGTTGTCGTTCTAAGGTGTCTGCAACTGCCTGTCTGCATAATGGGAGGACACCGTTACCCTCATTTAGATGTAGATAAAGATAGCACACTAATTAACTGGGCCATGCTGGTCACCCCTAATTAATGAATGGCCTGGTTTACTCTGATATGTCCTGACCAGGTCCAGTTGCTTTCTAAAATCTCAGGGCCCTTATTCTTGAAACGTTTGTAGCCCTAAGAATTCTTAACTTTGATCATAGCCAATGTGTTAAGAATGGGCTTAAGAAGTTCGTAAGGCTATGAACGTTTCGAGAATTTCTAGCCTGGTCTTTTTTTTTGAGAGTGTAGAAAGTAGTTCGAACTAGTAACCATTGTCTTGATGCTAAATTGTTCTTTTCCTTGTTTCATTTGTGACAAATATTATTTATTTTGTCATGATTAAATGTTTTTATTAAAGCTTAATCAAGCATAGTGATTGTTGTGTTTTTGTCTTATAAGTCGAGTATTAACTCCATTATAAGTAGTTTTGGTGTAAAAAAAACTTCTTGCGATATATTACAACACACATCGCAATATATGCTTTCGCATCGCAATATGAAAATTCTCTGCAATACCCACCCCTACAAATTCGAGAATAAACTGTTCAACCGACCAAAACACTTTGATCATGCTTTCATTCTATAGCAAAAGTTTATATGGTGTTACAAGTAAGAATGTCGCACAAATGCCAATTAAATACTATAATGTATCATGGCTTATCAATGTAAGGACGTTCTTGTATCCGGTATCGTATTGTGGATCATGCATCGCGGTACAGCGGAACATCGGTGTATCGTTTCAACCTTAGTACTGGAGGTGTGTGGACAGTTCATGCAGTGGCAAATGCAGAACAGTCAGAGACTATGTTCGTGACATGTCAGAATGATGACTGAGCAGTGAGATTTGTCAGCGTCATAAGGAAGAGAGCCAGAGAAGACATGAAATGAAAAACAGATCACTTGCTAGATTGTCAAAACTTGTTACATGGGTAATACCATTTTTCTTAATCAAGGGTAGAGCCTACGGGTACTTCCCTGAATGCCAGCAGGTATTGTCCAAGGTAGGCAAAGGAATGAAGCGTTCTAATTGCTACGGTCAAATAATTGCCGTGACAAAAGGCTTAAGAATCCCCTTTGAACCAGCAAAATAGAACACAGACAAGTCTAAAATATTCAATAATATATTGAGCAAACAATGAGCAAGCTACAATAAATCACAATACAGATTTCTAATACAATGCCATTGAGTCACAAATCTAAAGTTATGGGTCACATATATAAAATATTAACTCACCAGAGTCGTGGTAACCACAGTGAGATCAGATATTGTAAATGGAGCTTGTTTACAAATGAAAGCAGTCAGGGTCAGGGTCGGACGATGGCGTTGTGACAAAGGCAAACAACGATGGGCAACTCCAGTGAAAGATCCATGTAATTCCGTATGTTAGTCCGTGTGTCAGTCTTTGCATTGCACCACACAACAGCCAGCCTTTATATATACTGACACAGATTCTCGAACTTTCCAGCAAAGCATGGCTGTATCATTAAACACTTACATCTTGCCGCTAAAATACTGTTGCCACTGAACATATATGACTCAAAATGTGACCCACAACCAACACTCAAAACTTTAAACATTGTGACTCATAATTATAATCACCTAACCAATGTTATTACAAATTACAAAAAACACACTCTCGTAACATAATCCTTAGACAGTGGGTGATTATGGGGGACATCTCCTAATCTTAGGTGAGCGAAATTCAGAAATTCCTGAAGTGAGCGAGAGTTCAAATCAGACAATTGTAATCTTGTCTTGAGTGAACAAAATTTAACTATTTGATTGCAGGGTGACATAATGGAATAAACTTAAAGTAACTCACTTAAAACAACTCCCTGTGGGGTATATATAAGATCATCATACATTAGAACAACATGTCACAATGGCTAATGTTCAAGTTAATGTGCGGTTTATTGCGAACAGACGAGGTGGTCGAAATTTAGTCATGGGTGGCTACAAATTCAAAAGTAGACAACAAAATTGACATCAATTGGATATGCTTAACACCAGGCTGTACTTTTACCGTCAACAAGTAGACGACAAAATAGACATCCATTGGATATGCTTAACACCAGGCTGTACTTTTACCGTCAACAAGTAGACGACAAAATAGACATCCATTGGATATGCTTAACACCAGGCTGTACTGTAACCATCAACAAGTAGACGACAAAATAGACATCCATTGGATATGCTTAACACCAGGCTGTACTGTAACCATCAACAAGTAGACGACAAAATAGACATCCATTGGATATGCTTAACACCAGGCTGTACTGTAACCATCAACAAGTAGATGACAAAATAGACATCCATTGGATATGCTTAACACCAGGCTGTACTGTAACCATCAACAAGTAGACGACAAAATAGACATCCATTGGATATGTAACACCAGGCTGTACTGTAACCATCAACAAGTAGGCGACAAAATAGACATCCATTGGATATGCTTAACACCAGGCTGTACTGTAACCATCAACAAGTAGACGACAAAATAGACATCCATTGGATATGCTTAACACCAGGCTGTACTGTAACCATCAACAAGTAGATGACAAAATAGACATCCATTGGATATTCTTAACACCAGGCTGTACTGTAACCATCAACAAGTAGATGACAAAATAGACATCCATTGGATATGCTTAACACCAGGCTGTACTGTAACCATCAACAAGGACAAAATAGACATCCATTGGATATGCTTAACACCAGGCTGTACTGTTACCATCAACAAGTAGACGACCTTGTGACTAAGCAAGGTCAGGCCCACAACCATCCTGCAGATGATACCAAGATCACCGTAGAAAGTTTTCTTTCTAATCTGTCGTTACGTCTCCTTTTCCTTGTCATAATATAATGTAACGTTTATTGAATTATGTCAGTTGCTCTGCAGAGAATAAAATGCCATTTATTTGTCCATAATCGATTTGTAAATTTTTGCATGTTCAATGATATTATTTCTATCATAATATTGTTGAACAGAATACGTGTTTTTTCACATCTGCATATTTTTTTTGTGCATTTTCTTCAGTGACACATGTACCACCCCTTGTAAATTGGACACGGATATTTTATACGACCCCCATAGTTGAAACAACAACGGATTTGTTCAGCAACCGTAACATGCCGGCATTCCGGGAGTAAACCTTGCCTACTAATCAAGGATGCAACCAACCATAACAAGTGTTGTTTTAACGAGTTGATACAACCCACTAATTAGTACCTCTAACCCCCGTCTCCCTAGCCCCCTGTTGATACAAGCTACTAATTAATACCTCTAGCCCCCAACCCCCTAGCCCCCTGTTGATACAAGCTACTAATTAGTACCTCTAGCCCCCATCCCCCAAGCCCCTGTAGTTACAAGCTACTAATTAGTACCTCTAGCCCCATTCCCTAGCCCTCTTGTTATATGCCACTAATTAGTACCTCTAGCCCCCATCCCCCAAGCCCCTGTTGTTACAAGCTACTAATTAGTACCTCTAGCCCCCATCCCAAGCCCCCTTGTTGTTACAAGCCACTAATTAGTACCTCTAGCCCCCATCCCCAAGCCCCCTGTAGTTACAAGCTACTAATTAGTACCTCTAGCCCCCATCCCCCAAGCCCCCTGTTGTTACAAGCCACTAATTAGTACCTCTAGCCCCCAAGCCCCCCTGTTGTTACAAGCCACTAATTAGTACCTCTAGCCCCCCATCCCCAAGCCCCCTGTTGTTACAAGCTACTAATTAGTACTTCTAGCCCCCAGCCCCCAAGCCCCCTGTAGTTACATGCCACTAATTAGTACCTCTAGCCCCCATCCCCCAAGCCCCTGTAGTTACAAGCTACTAATTAGTACCTCTAGCCCACCATCCCAAGCCCCCTGTAGTTACAAGCTACTAATTAGTACGTCTATCCCCCATCCCCTAGCCCCTCTTGTTATATGCCACTAATTAGTACGTCTATCCCCCATCCCCCAAGCCCCTGTTGTTACAAGCTACTAATTAGTACCTCTAGCACCCCATCCCAAGCCCCTGTAGTTACAAGCCACTAATTAGTACCTCTAGCCCCGATCCCCTTAGCCCCTGTTGTTACAAGCTACTAATTAGTACCTCTAGCCCCCATCCCCTTAGCCCCTGTTGTTACAAGCTACTAATTTGTACGTCTATCCCCCCATCCCCTTAGCCCCTCTTGATACATGCCACTAATTAGTACCTCTAGCCCCCCGTCCCTAGCCCCTCTTGTTACATGCCACTAATTAGTACCTCTAGCCCTCATCCCTAGCCCCCCTCTTGTTACATGCCACTAATTGGTATCTCTAGCCCCAATCCCCTAGCCCCTCTTGTTACATGCTACTAATTAGAACCTCTAGCCCCATCTCCTTAGCCCCCTGTAGTTACATGCCACTATTTAGTACCTCTAGCCCCCATCCCAAGCCCCCTGTAGTTACATGCCACTAATTTAGTACCTCTCTAGCCCCCCATCCCCAAGCCCCTGTTGTTACAAGCCACTAATTAGTACCTCTAGCCCCCATCCCAAGCCCCCTGTAGTTACATGCCACTAATTAGTACCTCTAGCCCCCATCCCCTTAGCCCCCTCTTGTTACATGCCACTAATTAGGTACCTCTAGCCCCGATCCCCAAGCCCCATGTTGTTACAAGCCACTAATTAGTACCTCTAGCCCCGCCCCCATCCCCCAAGCCCCCTGTTGATACAAGCCACTAATTAGTACCTCTAGCCCCCATTCCCTAGCCCCCTCTTGTTACATGCCACTAATTAGTACCTCTAGCCCCTCGCCCCCTAGCCCCCTGTTGTTTACAAGCTACTAATTAGTACCTCTAGCTCCCCCATCCCCTAGCCCCCATCCTTACAAGCCACTAGTTAGTACCTCTAGCCCCCATCCCAAGCCCCTGTAGTTACATGCTACTAATTAGTACCTCTAGCCCCCATCCCCTAGCCCCTGTTGTTACAAGCTACTAATTAGTACCTCTAGCCCCCATCCCCTAGCCCCCTGTTGATACAAGCCACTACAAGCACTAATTAGTACCCTCTGGTTGTTACATGCCACTAATTAGTACCTCTAGCCCCCCCGTCCCCCTAGCCCCTGTTGTTACAAGCTACTAATTAGTACCTCTAGCCCCCTTCCCTGGTAGCTAAGTAGCCCCTGCATGACTAATTAGAGCCCCCATCCCCTAGCCCCCTGTTGTTACAAGCCACTAATTAGTACCTCTAGCCCCCATTCCCCTAGCCCCCTGTTGACATGTGACATGACAGTAGACTTGGATAGTAGCCTGACATGACAGAAGACTTGGATGGTAGCATGACATGACAGTAAACTTTGATAGTAGCACACAACATGACAGTAGACTTGGATAGTAGCACACAACATGACCGTAGACTTGGATAGGACCCCACAATGTGACAGTAGACTTGGATAGTAGCATGACATGACAGTACACTTTGATAGTAGCACACATGTTGTGGGCTACTATCCAAGTCTACTGTTATGTTGTGGGCTACTGTCCAAGTCTACTGTCATATGTGCTACTATCCAAGTCTTCTGTCATGTCAGGCTACTATCCAAGTCAACGGTCATGTGTGCTACTATCCAAGTCTTCTGTCATGTGTGCTACTATCCAAGTCTACTGTTACGTTGTGGGCTACTATCCAAGTCTACGGTCATGCTGTGTGCTACTGTCCAAGTCTACTGCCATGTTGTGTCCTACTATCCAAGTCTACTGTCATGGTTTGTGCTACTATCCAAGTCTACTGTCATGTGTGCTACTATCCAAGTCTACTGTCATGTGTGCTACTATCCAAGTCTACGGTCATGCTGTGTGCTACTGTCCAAGTCATTTGCTATCTGTGACACAGACACAGTCATTGCTATCTTTGACACAGACACAGTCATTGCTAAAAAGTGTATTATAGAATATTGTGGTAGTTTTATTTTTGAAATCCAACTGTATGATACAAGAATGCATTGTATCCTGCTTTGTTAGACCAGGTCAGATGCCAAGCTTCACTGATGCCCAGTCAGATGTGAGTGATGTGGCTCAGACGGATGCGAACAGTTGGGGCAAGGACTTTACTGATGACTCTGTCAACTCAGCTGCCTTTAAGGAGGACTCCACCCATTTCATGGCCCACGAAGAACCAACACCATGTTCAGATGGGGGGGACAATCCTGGATCTGACAATACTCAGAAGACAAATGATATCACTGTACTATTTGATGATAGTGATTATGAACTAATTACAGGGGATTCACATTTTATTGAAATTCGCAAACTCCCCCTGACTGTTCCCGATATGATCAAAGAGGACTGGCTGAGTTCTCTGCCATTGATGTCAATGGCCGAGGATGATGAGGATGTGATTCTAACTCTGCTGCAGTATCTAACAGACAAAGTGGAGCAGGAAGATCCCCTAGAGGAGTTCATGGTAGGTTACTGTAGAGGGAGTGTGAACCTCCAAACAGGTCAGGGGAGTGTGTCCACCCAAAGGGAGGGTAGAAGGATGAGAATGTTGCATGCTCATGATAGAGTGTCCACCCAAAGGGAGGGTAGAAGGATGAGAATGTTGCACATTCATGATAGCGTGTGTCCACCCAAAGGGAGGGTAGAATGATGAGAATGTTGCACACTCATGATAGAGTGTCCACCCAAAGGGAGGGTAGAATGATGAGAATGTTGCACACTCATGATAGAGTGTCCACCCAAAGGGAGGGTAGAAGGATGAGAATGTTGCATGCTCATGATAGAGTGTGTCCACCCAAAGGGAGGGTAGAAGGATGAGAATGTTGCACATTCATGATAGCGTGTGTCCACCCAAAGGGAGGGTAGAATGATGAGAATGTTGCACACTCATGATAGAGTGTCCACCCAAAGGGAGGGTAGAATGATGAGAATGTTGCACACTCATGATAGAGTGTCCACCCAAAGGGAGGGTAGGAGGATGAGAATGTTGCACACTCATGATAGAGTGTCCACCCAAAGGGAGGGTAGAATGATGAGAATGTTGCACACTCATGATAGAGTGTCCACCCAAAGGGAGGGTAGAAGGATGAGAATGTTGCACACTCATGATAGCGTGTGTCCACCCAAAGGGAGGGTAGAATGATGAGAATGTTGCACACTCATGATAGAGTGTCCACCCAAAGGGAGGGTAGAAGGATGAGAATGTTGCACACTCATGATAGAGTGTCCACCCAAAGGGAGGGTAGAATGATGAGAATGTTGCACACTCATGATAGAGTGTCCACCCAAAGGGAGGGTAGAAGGATGAGAATGTTGCACACTCATGATGAGATGATGTGTCCACCCAAAGGGAGGGTAGAAGGATGAGAATGTTGCACACTCATGATAGAGTGTCCACCCAAAGGGAGGGTAGAAGGATGAGAATGTTGCACACTCATGATAGAGTGTCCACCCAAGGGAGGGAGAAGGTAGAAGGATGAGAGATGTTGCATGTTGCTCACTGATGAGAGAGTGTCCACCCAAAGGGAGGGTAGAAGGATGAGAATGTTGCACACTCATGATAGAGTGTGTCCACCCAAAGGGAGGGTAGAAGGATGAGAATGTTGCATGCTCATGATAGAGTGTGTCCACCCAAAGGGAGGGTAGAAGGATGAGAATGTTGCACACTCATGATAGAGTGTGTCCACCCAAAGGGAGGGTAGAAGGATGAGAATGTTGCATGCTCATGATAGAGTGTGTCCACCCAAAGGGAGGGTAGAAGGATGAGAATGTTGCACACTCATGATAGAGTGTCCACCCAAAGGGAGGGTAGAAGAATGATGAGAATGTTGCACACTCATGATAGAGTGTCCACCCAAAGGGAGGGTAGAAGGATGACAGAGTGAATGTTGCACACTCATGATAGAGGTCCACCCAAAGGGAGGGTAGAAGGATGACAATGTTGCACACTCATGATAGAGTGTGTCCACCCAAAGGAGGGTAGAAGGATGAGAATGTTGCACACTCATGATAGAGTGTCCACCCAAAGGGAGGGTAGAAGGATGAGAATGTTGCATGCTCATGATAGAGTGTGTCCACCCAAAGGGAGGGTAGAAGGATGAGAATGTTGCACACTCATGATAGAGGGTCCACCCAAAGGGAGGGTAGAAGGATGAGAATGTTGCATGCTCATGATAGAGTGTGTCCACCCAAAGGGAGGGTAGAAGGATGAGAATGTTGCACACTCATGATAGAGGGTCCACCCAAAGGGAGGGTAGAAGGATGAGAATGTTGCATGCTCATGATAGAGTGTGTCCACCCAAAGGGAGGGTAGAAGGATGAGAATGTTGCATGCTCATGATAGAGTGTCAACCCAAAGGGAGGGTAGAAGGATGAGAATGTTGCACACTCATGATAGAGTGTCCACCCAAAGGGAGGGTAGAAGGATGACAATATTGCATGCTCATGATAGAGCGTGTCCACCCAAAGGGAGGTTAGAAGGATGAGAATGTTGCACACTCATGATAGAGTGTCCACCCAAAGGGAGGGTAGAAGGATGACAATGTTGCACACTCATGATAGAGTGTCCACCCAAAGGGAGGGTAGAAGGATGACAATGTTGCATGCTCATGATAGAGTGTGTCCACCCAAAGGGAGGGTAGAAGGATGACAATATTGCATGCTCATGATAGAGTGTGTCCACCCAAAGGGAGGGTAGAAGGATGACAATGTTGCATGCTCATGATAGAGTGTGTCCACCCAAAGGGAGGGTAGAAGGATGAGAATGTTGCACACTCATGATAGAGGGTCCACCCAAAGGGAGGGTAGAAGGATGACAATGTTGCACATTCATGATAGAGTGTGTCCACCCAAAGGGAGGGTAGAAGGATGACAATATTGCATGCTCATGATAGAGTGTGTCCACCCAAAGGGAGGGTAGAAGGATGAGAATGTTGCACACTCATGATAGAGGGTCCACCCAAAGGGAGGGTAGAAGGATGAGAATGTTGCATGCTCATGATAGAGTGTGTCCACCCAAAGGGAGGGTAGAAGGATGAGAATGTTGCACACTCATGATAGAGTGTCCACCCAAAGGGAGGATAGAAGGATGACAATGTTGCATGCTCATGATAGAGTGTGTCCACCCAAAGGGAGGTTGGAAGGATGAGAATGTTGCACACTCATGATAGAGTGTCCACCCAAAGGGAGGGTAGAAGGATGAGAATGTTGCACACTCATGATAGAGTGTCCACCCAAAGGGAGGGTAGAATGATGAGAATGTTGCACACTCATGATAGAGTGTCCACCCAAAGGGAGGGTAGAAGGATGAGAATGTTGCATGCTCATGATAGAGTGTGTCCACCCAAAGGTGGGGTAGAAGGATGACAATGTTGCATGCTCATGATAGAGTGTGTCCACCCAAAGGGAGGGTAGAAGGATGAGAATGTTGCACACTCATGATAGAGTGTGTCCACCCAAAGGGAGGGTAGAAGGATGAGAATGTTGCACACTCATGATAGAGTGTCCACCCAAAGGGAGGGTAGAAGGATGAGAATGTTGCATGCTCATGATAGAGTGTGTCCACCCAAAGGGAGGGTAGAAGGATGAGAATGTTGCACACTCATGATAGAGTGTCCACCCAAAGGGAGGGTAGAAGGATGAGAATGTTGCACTCATGATAGAGTGTGTCCACCCAAAGGGAGGGTAGAAGGATGAGAATGTTGCACACTCATGATAGAGTGTGTCCACCCAAAGGGAGGGTAGAAGGATGAGAATGTTGCATGCTCATGATAGAGTGTGTCCACCCAAAGGAGAGGTAGAAGGATGAGAATGTTGCATGCTCATGATAGAGTGTGTCCACCCAAAGGGAGGGTAGAAGGATGAGAATGTTGCACACTCATGATAGAGTGTCCACCCAAAGGGAGGGTAGAAGGATGAGAATGTTGCATACTCATGATAGAGAGTCCACCCAAAGGGAGGGTAGAAGGATGAGAATGTTGCATGCTCATGATAGAGTGTGTCCACCCAAAGGGAGGGTAGAAGGATGAGAATGTGCATCACTCATGATAGAGAGTGTCCACCCAAAGGGAGGGTAGAAGGATGGTAGAAGGATGAGAATGTGCATCACTCATGATAGAGTGTCCACCCAAAGGGAGGGTTGAAGGATGAGAATGTGCATCACTCATGATAGAGAGGGTCCACCCAAAGGGAGGGTAGAAGGATGAGAATGTGAATGTAGTTAATGTGTAAAACAAATTCACTCATGATAATCAGAACCAAAGCACACAGTGAAACAATGTGCAAAATAAACATTTGCAAGAGTCCTTTTGAATCAATCCCACACCTGCAGGCATCAGTTAGTGCTTAAAATATTCCTCTGACATGTAATATGCTGATTTCATGTCTTTGTAACATGCAGGGTGTAATCAGCTCACATTGCAGCTTCGCAACACTGTTACATCAGCAACATTTCAAGAGGGCTCTGGGAAAACAAGAGGGCTCTGGGAAAACAAGAGGGCTGTGGGAAAACAAGAGGGCTCTGGGAAAACAAGAGGGCTCCGGGAAAACAAGAGGGCTCTGGGAAAACAAGAGGGCTGTGGGAAAACAAGAGGGCTCTGGGAAAACAAGAGGGCTGTGGGAAAACAAAGAGGGCTGTGGGAAAACAAGAGGGCTCTGGGGGAAACAAGAGGGCTCGGGGAAAACAAAAGAGGGCTCTGGGAAAACAAGAGGGCTGTGGGAAAACAAGAGGGCTGTGGGGAAACAAAGAGGGCTCCGGGAAAACAAAGAGGGCTGTGGGAAAACAAAGGGCTGTGGGAAAACAAAGGGGCTCTGGGGAAACAAGAGGGCTGTGGGACAAAACTGGGAAAAAGTGGGCTCTGGGGAACCAAAGAGGGCTCTGGGGAAACAAGAGGGCTCTGGGAGGAAAAAGAGAGAGGGCTCCGGGGAAAACAAGAGGGCTGTGGGAAAACAAAGAGGGCTGTGGGAAAACAAGAGGGCTGTGGGAAAACAAGAGGACTCCGGGAAAACAAGAGGGCTCCGGGAAAACAAGTGGGCTCCGGAAAAAGAAGAGGGCTCCGGGAAAACAAGAGGGCTCCGAGGGCTCCGGGAAAACAAGAGGGCTGTGGGAAAACAAGAGGGCTCCGGGAAAACAAGAGGGCTCCAAGAGGGGCTCCGGGAAAACAAGAGGGCTGTGGGAAAACAAGAGGGCTCCAGGAAAACAAGAGGGCTGTGCCGAATAAGAGTAGTTCCCCTTCAATAGTGAACCTCAACAATGTCACATTCGAGTAGCCGGGTTATATTTAGTTGCAGACACTCAATAGTTGTGGTTCCAGTCTTTGGGGACAACATTGAACGTAAACATCTACACAGATACAGGACCCATAAGCAGGTATCCGAAAAAATCATCAGATGACAACACCTGTATTGACGCCAAATGAGTGACACCAGTAAATGATGTCACGCTCTCAGTTATTTTATGCTTGTAGT